TTGGGATTTGGGATTTGGGATTTCGGCATTTGGGATTTTGGCATTTGGATTTTGAATTTGGGTGGCAGGTATAATTTGATCAAGAATCTAGTAATGCATAAAATAAAAGTTAAAAAGTTTATTATAAAGTTATGTTAAAAAGTAAATTTTTAAAAACTACAGATTATATTTTATGTATTATAAGTGTTTTTATTAAATATTTGTTATAATAATAAATAATTATATAAGAAGTGAAAATAAATACCACTAAAAAATAATTAGTGATTGACAAAAATCTGCACTAAATTTATATATAATTTTTTGTAGTTAAGTCACATATCACAAATTAACTTCTTATAGTTCTCTTAATTTAATTAATAATATATATTTATTCTTTTTATATAATATGCATTTCAGTCTTGTCTTTATGATTACTTAATATCATTTTTGACATTTACTTATTTTAAATAAAAATATTTTATATGTCATCAGGAATTATATAGAGATGTTCTAGTATACTATAAGTATGAAATTTTCAAATAATACATTAAAAATGTCAATTTTAGTATGTTATAAATATGAAATATTTAAACAATACACTAAAAAAATAAATTATAAGTAAATATTATATCATATAATATTTTTATTTACTTATTTTTTATTTTTGATATCTCATATTTATTTTGTTCAGAGATTTATAAAAAAAAGATTACTTATTTTGCTCAAATTTTTGTAGATCCTGTATATTATTTATTAGTTTTGCTTGCGAATCTTATAAATTCAAAAGTAATAAAATTCAAAAATATATAAAAAATAGTTGAATCCATAAAAATATTCAAATTTACAAAAAATATTTGAATATTTTAAATTATACTTGCATGTAAAATTATTTTGAACATCTGAAAATTGTAATTTTGAGAAAAAAAGTTAAAATAGTTTTTTATAGAAGGCAAAATTATTTTACTTAAAATTCAAAATTTTTTGATTACCCAGATAAATTCTTTGATTAAAGATATACTTAACTAGGTATTTTTTTTTACTTCCATATATAGAATAGATTCTGTGTAAATCTCAAAACGATAAAATATTCCAAAAATCAAAATTCAATTTTGAAAACATGTATAATCTAAATACACTAAAAATCAGATTTGGATTTTAAAAAGTTGGATTTGTATATTATGAATCTGGATTGGATTTGAGGAGAATAAATATCAAATAGATTTAAATATTGACAAAAATCTGATCTGATTCAACTTTGCAGAACCCTAATTAAATGATTAAGAAAAATCAAAAATGAAAATAATAGTTCAAGTTAAGAGAATGAAAATTTAAATTTTGTAAATAGTATTTTTAATTTATTTAAATTAATACATAAATTTTCAATATTTGTTAATGAAGATATTTTTTAGATGGTTATGATTATTCAACAAGAAATTTTCAAAATAATTATCCTAAGAGTATATTTATAAAGGTCCAATATATTACTGGAAAAAAAAAATTTAATTTTTGATATAATGTAATTTCTTTGGGATATTATTCTACATCTGTTAAGTTGACCCAAAAAAATTCCAAAAATTGTATTCAATATCAAATACCTGATGATCATTATATTGAAACTAAAATTTATAAATAAATCAATTACATGTTAAAGTAAAATTTATAATCGAAACTGAGACAAAACTATTAACAATTTGATTTGATATTTTGGTTAATTTTATTTAAAACAAAATATCTAAATGAGCAATTTTAATAAATAAGATATGTTATGATAGCTCTTCTGAAATTGGAGGATTGGTACGAGATGAATATTTGGAGCCACCTCATCAATCCAGCATTTTACAATGTGAACATTGATTTAATTGTGGTGAGAGGATGAGACTTGCATCAAGTGACAACAAGTGATAAAAAGAAGACTCGTAGCACAAATTGGTTAAAAAAAATATATGTATATGAAGATCAACACATATATAAAGATCACAAAGAATTATATTATACAAAGAAAATCATCATAATTCTTCATTTAATTGTAAGGCTATAATAAAGAAGGCAGGCCTCGGGAAAAATAAAATCAAACACCGTCAACTAAAATTTTTCTATTAGGATCCATAAATTTATCCAAAACTTCATCTGTGATTTCGGATTTGCGCTTTTTTTTAATGAATAAATAAATAAATAAGAATTTGTAAGAAATAAAAAAAAATAAATAAATAAAATAATAATGTTAAAAAAAAAAAAAGAATCGATTTCATACCTTTTGGAATTCACCAACAAATTTTTGTAATACTTCAATGCAATGAGCCTTTAACACACCAGTCATAAGTTTTCCAGATTTATAATTCTATAAAAAAAATAGGTACATTAATTGATCAATATTTATATTAATTGATCAATATTTATATTAATTGGTCAATATTTATATTAATTAATCATAATGTAACAGTTGAAATGGTTAAATGAATGAGTGATATAAAGTCAAGAGAATATTAATAAACCTTATAAATTGATTCTAATTCATCATCGTCATCTAAGAAGAAAGATAAATATTGGTAAGCAACGTCAATGTCAGGGTTTCCTCCATGTAATTCATGAAGTTCTTTAGTATCACCGCCACCAGAAAAGGCATGTTTGTTTATCTATAAATCAGATAAATAAATATATATATAGATATATAATTTTAGTTTTCAGAATATCAAATATTTAATTTTAGGATGTTAAAACGAATATAAAGAATTTTAGCAAACCTTATTCTTTATTTTATTTGGGGTATCTGACATGAAAATTGCAGAATTTTCTTCGGATGCACTCATTTTTGTTTGAGGTCCCTAAAATACAATAAGAATTATTCGATAAATAATAATAATAATTGTTAATATTATAATGAAGAATTTCTTTTCTTACCTGAAGAGCGGGAAAAAATTTAGCATGAACCAAACTTGGTTTAGGATATTTGAGTTTATGCGCGACGTCACGCGTTAATCTAAAGTAAGGATCCTAAAATTGAATAAATTAAATATATTCAATATAATATAATGAAATAAAATGAATACAATGGATAATATCAAATATAGAAAAATAATAATAAATATTATTAATTACTTGATCAATAGCACATGGAATCAAACAAGGAATATCCGTTCGTTTGCCAAATATTTGTGGAAAGGAATTGGAAAATGATGGTGCTGCTTGTATGGAAACAAAGTGAATTTTTCCAACACAATCACTTTAAAAATAAATAAAAAATAAATAAATAAATGAAAATTCAGAAATTTGAAGTTTGAATTTGAATTGAAATTTAATTTAATTTTTTTTTATACCTGTCATTGAATCCGAAAGTAGCTTTTGATTGACTGGTAGTAATACATCTTGAAATCCTTACAATATTATGATAGAATTCTTTGCTAAATCCATAATTCATAATAATAATAATAATAAATAATAATAATAATAATAATAATAATAAATAATAAATAATAATAATAATAATAATAATGAAAATAATAATGATGATAATATTTATATAATTATGTGTTCAAATTCTAATTAAAATTGATATTAACCCGACGTAATCGGAATTAGAAAATATAAATGTCTTTTCGACATTAAATTTGCATGCAATAATATCTTTGGCATTCTCTCTTGCGAATTTACGAGTATCATCTAATGTTAACTCCGGTTTGAAAAGAAATTTCTCATCATCTAAAAAGAAATCAAAACAATTTAAATATCTTTAAATTATTTTTTAAAATAAAGAAAAAAAAATGACAAAAAAAAAATAAAAATAAAAACCTGTTAATTGAATTACAATAGGTACATCGAAAACTTCTTGTAACCATCTAATATTGAAAATAATGAAAAGAAAGTAATAAATTCATTGTTTCTTCGTGATAATAAATCATCAAAGAATATATAGATATTTATATAAATTTCTTACTGGCAAAATACGAAAGGAATCATGTGCCCAAGGTGCATACTATTACTACTAGGTCCTCGACCTGTGTAAAGAAAGAATGGTTTCTTTTTTTCATATAGATCCAAAATATTATTAAACTCTCTATTTAAATTATTATTATATTAATATAATTTTTTTTTTTTGCAAAATAATTCGAATAATTCATAAAATTCGAATAATTCATAAAATTCGAATAATTCAAATAATTCACATATTTCGAATAATTCAAATACCTATGAGAAAAGAATACATCTCTTCGTAATAAAGGGTGAAGCTTTCTTCCCGTCAAATTTTCAAATCTTTTCTTAAATTCGGCATCAATACGTTTAGTACCAAATTGTTCGATTAATTTATCATAATTAATTGCTTGTGCCTTGCCGTCTATTATGGCTCCTTCTACTTTCCAAGGAGTTATTTCTTGTTCATGGTTAATTTCCCTAAAACATTGGTTTCAATATTGTAATATATTTATATTGCACTTAGAGCTTTCTAACTGTACCTTTTTTCGTTTTCTTTTGACATATCTTTTTAACGTTATGATAAACTGAAAATACTTGTGTAACTTGTAAAAATTCAATTAAAAAAAAAAAACAAATAAATGAATTGTTTAATTAAAATTGATTAAAAATTATTGCTACGGATTTATTAGTTTGATAAAGAAGTAGAGAAGATTTTATCTAATTTTGTTTTTAGAAAAGAAGAAAATTATTTTCAAAAAAAAAAAAAAGAATATCATTACAATGTTTGTTGTTATTGTTTATTAATATATTTAATTCAATGTTTTCCACTTTTCCTACGACTTTTTCCTTTATGTTCAGAATAAGAAGAAGCCGAAGCAGCTTCAATAGCATTTTTTTCATTACTTTCTATAACATTTTCAGTAGAATCAATAATTTTCTGTTGTTCTCTTTTACCATAACGAGTTAACAATCTATGTTCAATATCATTTAATTCCCATGAATGAGGGGTTAATTCAAGATTTTCACTTTCTGCTAAATGAAGTTTATGAAAATCTTGAGGTTGACCAGTAGGTGAAGCAGTCATTTGTGACATAGCTGTCATTTCTCTCATACCATCAGCAGCATTATCTTCACCTAATAATAATGTAAATATACTTCTTAATCCAAAAAGATTAAGAAAATACCAAGATAAAGATGAAACCCAAGTAACATCCATATCAGGAGTTTCCACACCACGTTGTAACATAGATTTAAAACGAAGTGTAAGAGGAAACGGTAATTTAACTATATTAATTGATTAATTAATTAATTAATTGATTGATTGATTGATTGATTGATTGATTGATTGATTGATTGATTGAAAATATTAATAATTAAAAAATAAAATAAATAATGATTATATTTATTTCAATTAGAGAATAACATACTTAACACGAATCCGGAAAAGAAGAAATTTATCCAACCCATAATAATTGTTTGTGGAATAATCATTGCGATATTCTTTTTCATTCCTTCCATCATCATTTCCATTCCTTGAGGATCAGTCATTGGATTAACTGTTTGATTCATTGATGCGGGATTCTTTAAATAATCACCTTTCTTATATGCATTTGTTAAATAATTTTTTCTATTTAAAAATGATAACGGAGGAATATGATTTCCATAACTCCTTAAGGCAGCTCCTCGCATTAAAACCTTTGATTCTCTAATTGCTTTTAAAGTTGCTTTTTTTGTTCCACCACTTAATAATACTGTAATTTGATCCCTGAACACACCAACTAACACCATCACTATCATGATAGGGATCAATACCCAATCACGTATAGCTAATTATAATTGAATATAATTTTAGTTATTGAATCAAAAAAAAAATGACAACAAAACTGAACGACTTGATAAATCTTACCTGGATCCAAGTATAAAGATTGACTAAAAAAATTAATAAAATTGAAGGTTAAATTTTAAGTATATTAAAATTAAAAAAAAAAAAACTTTGATATACCTTTCAGCTAGCGTGCTTAATACTTGATGTGACATCGTAACGAGTTCTCTTTCAATGATAAAATTATAAAAAAAAAAAAAAAAAACTTTTTTAAATATTTTGTATACTGCATTTCGTCGATCTTCGCCAATTTACCAATTTTAATTAAAAATTTGGTTTCCCGAAATTATTATTTTTTTATTTTTATTTTTAGTTTTTTAATTTTTTTTTTTAATTGACTTTTAATTGACTTGAGAAATATGTCTAAATCCAATAAAGAATTAGTACAAAATTATTTAAGTAATTATTCTTCCAAGAATGATTTTTTTTTAAAAACTTTTTTTCCTAGAATAAAAGTAATATTGATATCAAATGAAAAATGTGTTTTTGAAATAATTGTAAAGAAAGAAGATTGTAATGATGGGGGATCTGTATTTGGTGGACTTATAGCAAGCATAATAGATATTATTAGTACTGTTACTTTATTAACTTATCAAGGTTATTATTATTTATTATTATTATTATTATTATTATTATTATTATTTAATTATTTGAATTATTATTATTTTATTAATTAATTCATTAATTATTAATTCTTTTGTTTTCTTACAGATTCTAAATATAATTACATAGGTACATCAACTGATATGACGATATCTTTTCTTTTACCTGTTAAAGCTGGGGAAACCATTGTATGTGAAAGTTATGTTTATAAAATTGGTAAATCATTAGCCAATATTCATACAATTATAAAAGAAAAATCATCAGGAAAGATTGTTGCTTCAGGGCAACATACAAAATTTAATGACCAACTTAACAAATTATAATTACATTTCAATAATATATTTCATCATATTTACAAATAAAAAAAAAAATGGAAAATGAAATGATATTTATATATTTGTGATGAACGTATTAATATTATTAAAAAAAAAAAAAATCGAGAATTCGAAATTATTATGGGAAAGATGACAAAAGAACACAAAAGCAATGTTACATAATGTTAAAAGGAATAAAAGGAATATACATATATATATATATATATATATATGTATAAAGGGTAATAAACCATTTTTAAAATGAAAAATCATGATGATAATTGAATTATATTTCCACTCCCACAAGGAGATATTTATTAGAATCGTTTTTAAATGTACCGGGTAAAACCAGTTCAAAGCCGATATACAAGAATGCACGAATTAAAGTGTCTAATGTAAAAAATTATGTACAAATGAAATACGTGAATAAAAAAAATGATAATAACGATAACGATAATAATGATTATAATAATAATTGATAATATAAACTTACAAAGATTAGAATTATTTTTTTCAAGACAAACCACCAAAGAATTGCATTTTAATTCTTCGGCAAGTTCAAGAGCCGGAACGATGCTATAATATATTAAAAAATCAAACCAATAACACGAGGCGCAGAAAACGCGTATTTGCAAGCGCGAAATAATCCATTTTATAGATTCAAAAAGTGTTAGAATAAAATATGTGGATCCAACTTCTCCACAAAATTCACCCAATCGCTTCATGATCACCAATTATCACAAAAAGTTATTAAAAATAATTTTATGTTAAATAATAATAATAATAATAATAATAATAAATTTAATAATTTATGAAAATGAAGCGATCAGGTGAAATAATGGGAAAAGTGTGATCCTACATATCAAAAAGTTTTATGATCTAATGACTTAACTGAAAAAAAAGATGAAAAACCTAAATAATAAAATATCCAATTTAAAATAAATTATTTATTACATACCTATCCTTTAATTCTTCTGTAAGATTTAAATTATTCCCTTTCAAAAATAATATCCTATTTTTCACGAAACATTCATATTTTAGTTTTCGGGGATAATGAGCTTTTACTATGATCACATTAGAATCCACTTGAACATCAGATTTGGTGGTGGTGGTGGAAGAATGAGTACCATTAAAGAATTCCTCCATAAAAGATGGAGGTTTGCTTTTGTTTTTTATTTTGTCACCGCTTCCCTTTATCTGACTTCCTAACACCGTGATGCCGCCACCATCACAGGCTAGGAAGTCTTGTCCCTCTGGGTATAAAAAGAATTCGGGAGTCATGTCCTGGATTAATTATAAATATTAATTCAAAGTATTTATAATATTACTTTATATATATATAGTATTTATACTCACAGGAACGCCACCCGGTCTTCTTACCCACTACAATTTATTTTTTAATTTATTTAATTTAAATTTAATTTAATTTATTTATTTAGAAATTTCGTAAATATAGTGAAATATAGAGAAATAGTGAAAACGTAGAGAAATAGTGAAAATATAGAGAAATAATGAAATATAAAGGATATAAATATATGATTAAACTTACAAGTAGAATAATAGAAATACTCTCTATTGCGAGTAGTATTAGATACAATAGCCAAAAGCTGTTTATCATGTTGGTTACGTATATTACTACTGATACTTTTCATTGGTATCATATTACTAATATTCGCCATGACTTTATAGACGACAGGGTTGTTGGTTTATGATGGAGAAGGGTTAAAAGTAATAAATAAATAGCAACAATAATAATAATAATAATTTTAAAAAGGTATAGTTATCAATAGTTGTTATTGGGTACGTATTTGGTAAATTGTTTAAATAAGAGCAAAAGAAAAAAAAAAAACGCAAAAGAAAAAATTTTCACAGGCTTCTATATATAGAATTTATGTCAGTTTATACTTATTTTGCTTATTTGGTTGATTGAAAACTATTCTCGAATGATTGCTGACTATTTTGCACATGACTTTAAAGTTTTAACACTGATTACCTATTTTTGGAAGTAGGGAAATCTTAATTGGTGTTTAAGGACGGCTGATTGTTGTTTTGGAGTGGTTAGTTTCAATATCACAAAATATCTCATGATGTTTTTGTTTCTTTTTTTGCTCTCATCTCGGCATAACTTTTTTCCGAGATTTCTACAAGTTAAATTGTTCTATATTAGCATACATTTTTATTTTTCCGATGCAAAGCACAGGGCACACAAAAACCTTTGATGATATCATGTGATCGTAGTTATTATAAAATCGATCTTGCCTAAAAGCTGATTAGTTTTCTAACCGTTGACAACTGCCAAGTGTGACTCTTACTTCTATGAGGCAGAAGCTGAAGAATGGCGCTTTCTATACTTTTATCAACACCGTTAATGTCAAATAGGTCTTCTTTAAAAAAGAATCTTTTATACTAAAGAGGTCTTCGGAATATCTTTTGGAAAGGGTTCGGATTAGCGTTGGCAACTTTCCGGCTTGGTACGACTTGAAGGTCAAACTGGACCGTGTTGACTTAAACTATAAGTCAAATTGATGAGGCCGTTACTGTTGACTCCAACTTTTCCATCAACTCCATTGGCTTGACCCCATCAGCCCCATCAACTCCATTGGCTTGGCCCATCAACTTAGAAGTCAAGCCAGTTCAACCTCATCGACCCTGTTCGATAAGGTCCGGCTTGGCTTATAAAACTAGTTCGGATAAGGCTTTGATGCGTGCAATGAGTTTTCCTATTTATGATTACGAAGGACAAGCTTCGTGACGTTCTCTTTATGATTTTTCATTATCGTTATGGTTAAGTAGATGCTCAAGAGCAGTAAAGAATGACCAGGGGAAATAAACTTCGTGTTATTTCAGAAAACAAAAATTTAAAGATTGACACGAATATCTGATTTGGTAACGCCTTTTGTAGAATCGCGGAAGTAAATAATGGATTTTTTTTTTTTTGATAAATTTTAATTTCTTTGATTTAAAATATTTCAATTGATTATTTGGTAGAGAGATTTCAATTTCTTCTTCGGAAATCTATTATTTTTGTTATGCGTATACGAATTGAATGCATATATATTAGTGTCTGAAGAATAAGATGCACATCTTAAATTTATAATATATTAATAAATATTTATATAATTCGAAAGTGCAATTGTTGAATTTGGTTTTCCTTTTACTATTTCAATTATATTTTTCTTGATCAAATAAATGCATACCAATTCATCGGTAATATCAACCACAAAAATTGCAATTTTTAAAGATAAAATAACGTACAACTGTATATCTGCAGACTCGAAATTCAAGAATTCAAGAATTTAAGATGAGGTTCAAAAATTTTTTCAAATATTTATTATAAATTAATTTATATACAATTCATTACAATTCATACAATTACAAAAGTTGTCTATTAATATTGTTAGTGTTAATAAATGTCTTTGTAAATTTATATAATTTTCTTTGATTTATATATTAAATAATGATTGATCTCTTAATTATTATTATATTATTATTATTATGTAATATGAGTAATTATTCCTTCACTTTTTCATTTGAATAATATTCCTTTTCACTAAATTCCAATACAAATCTAAGATCATCATTTTTGCTTCTATATTCTTTACTAATTTGTGTTAACTCGTCTAAACATTGTCTACGTTTTATTACTAAACTTTCCACCAATTCTCTTGATTTACTACCCTTTCCATTAAAGAGTGCAGCAAATAATCTAAAGGATGCAATGAGTTCTTTAAATTTATCATAATGACTATAAAAAAAATAATAATAATAAAAACAATAAATAAATTAAGAATAAATTAAGAATAAATTAAGAATAAATTAAGAATAAATTAAGAAAAATATTACAATAAAAGAAATAATAATAATAATAATAATACTTGCCTATCAACAAGAGCATTATGATACCATGCAAAAATATATATCGCTCCTGCGACAAGTACAAATCCCGATGATGTAAAGAAAAGTGGAATCCAAAGAATAAAAAATAATGTTGTATAGGAAATTATCAACCAGGCAAGACCCAAAATAATTTTATTTTGTGCTATCGATTCTTCATATTTTTCAAATTTCACGGAAATCTTACCCAACACATAAATTGGCCAATGAAAAATTATTCCCGGTAAGAAGAATGGTAATTGAATCAAAAATATGAATAATTCATATATCAATGTATAAAAAGTTCGGGTTATAGAAAGAATATGTTTTTCATATCTTTTTATATCCGCATTTAAAAGACTAAAATCATCTAAAGCAGTTTTATATTGATTAAGTGATGTTTTCAATGATATAACTTCATCCGAAGTTGTATTTGTATAAAAATTAATTAAACTGAAAAAGATAAAAATAATTCAATTAATTTTTAATTTATTCAAGTACTATAAGTTATGACAAGTTATGAACTTTACCTTTGAGTGGTTCGTACAAAGTTTTCAAGTGAAAGAAGTTTGTCATCAGAAAACAACAATAATCTAGTCATTGTTGCAGCATTTGATATTTCCCTAATAAATTTCCAATAATTTATATTGTTGTTATTATTATTATTATTATTAAATCTACACAAATAAGAATAAATAAGAATAATTAAAAATATTACCAATTAGGTGCATTTATTGTTAATTTTTCCATTTCAGTTTGGATGCGTTTTGTTAGTTTTTTTACTGCCGTACGGTTATCAGTTTCAAAATCTTTGATGTAAGGTTCAACATGTATTTGACGTCCATATCTATCAATCCAAATTATAATTATATTTGAGTCGAAATTCTTATATAAAGAAATAAAAAAAAAACTTAATAAATGACTTACGCGATTATCACTAAACTCCTATATTTTGATTTCTGTACATATGTTATTCCGCAAGGTATAATACTGGCAGGCATTGGTTCATTTTGTTTCTTTTTATTTTCCTTATTAAATGATTTTTTACTTTCTTCATTTAAATATGTTGGATATTCCAAAGCAGCCTATATTTAAAATATTTAAAATATTTAAAATATTTAAAAATAATTATTATTATCAAACTACAAAATTATCATATTTAAATAATTATATCGAAATAATACAAACCCACGAAGCACCATCCTTGAATTCTAGTAGATGAGATTCAGAATGTGATGTACCTAAATTAAAAAATTAAAAAAATTATTAAATTTTATAATTTATAATTTGATTCTTCTTCTTAATCAATAAAACTATTATCTTTCTTCTATAGATCTAACTTTTATTCTATAAATCCATCCATCCATCTATCTATCTATCTATCTACTATAAATCAATCAATCATAATCTATTAACTTTATTTTCTCGTGATTTTTGAACATACCTTCTGGAAATACTGCAACAATTTCTCCTTTTTGTAATACTTCAAATGTCGCAGCAAATAATGCTTGATTATTTTTTGTGGTTCTATCTACTGGTACTACTCCACCATTATATAATATGTAATTAAATATTTTATTAAAAAACAAAGAATTCTTTGCCCATAAATGAATCTTCCTTTTGTGAGGAAATGTTGTAGCCAAAATTGCTGGATCAACTACCATATTACTAAGAGTTTGATATATATATAAAAAAAAAATATTTCATAAATAAATAATATGGAATATAAAACATAACGTAAAATTGAATTATTTTATTCTTTATTATTGATCCTTACTTGTGAGTACAACATACAATAAGTGGTCCTTCCTTTGGAACATTTTCGTAACCCATTATTCGAATTTCTCTATAAAATCCATGAATGCTCCAACGTGCCAAAGTAGAAACGATATCATATGAAATTCCGAATGGCATTTTCTTTAAAAAATAGGAGTAATAACTATTGAAACTAATCGTTATAAATTATTTGTATGAAGGAAAAAAAAAAAAAAACAAAACAGAACTTTGGATTCTAAATACAGAAAATAAAAATCATTTTACTTTTATATTATATATTAGTTTGGTTTCCACGTGATTATGATTTAAAATTTAGTATTTTCCCCAAAACCCCACCAAATATTTATTCGTACCACTGAGAAAATCGATCGTACTTCTTTTTTAAGGAAGAAATCATAATACACTTTTTATCTACTCATTGTATTTCTATATATATACTATTCTTCATGCATATTTTTAAGGTATAATGTGAAAGTGTGTATATTTTATTCTATATAATTGGACTATTACATTTATGTATAACACCTAAATTGTATAATCTAAATTTTATAATTTAATGGATTTTTAATGTAATGTTGAAGAAAATATAAAATTATTAAATCTTAAATATTTATAAAATTATTAAATCTTAAATATTATAACTTGCTTTGATTGTAGTAAACCAAGAATCCGAATATTTTGAGAATCTCAAAGCATTCCACGTTTTTTTCTTTGAGAAATTTTATATCATAATTTATTATTTCATCTTTATAGACCATTGAATTATTTTTTTTATATATGTAATATATTTAATAAAATTTATTTATATTTATAAAATTTATTGAAAAAATTTTAATTTATAAAACTTAATTAATTTGAAAGTTATTCATTACTACAGTCAACCTCCCTTTATAAGCACACTATATTTACTAATAAATTTATAAAAAAAAAAAAGAATTCCTTATAGTCACTTTTTATAAACACCTGTTTTTTTCCACAGGTCAAACACAAAAGATAGATTTAGCTGATTTATAATATAGGATATATAGGAATTCCCGATTTTTAGCTGATCTATAATATAGGAATGACCATGTATTTGACTAGTGTTGGGTCCCGAGGGATTCAGGAAAAATTATAAGTAAATTTGTGACATTTGCATTTGTCCCGGTTTTTGAGAATAAACATGTAAACATGCGCGTTTTGATCTTGTGCGTTTAGATCAAAACAACCATAACCATGTCCATATCTACAGTATGAAAGTTAATAGAAGTTAAATACGTATTATCAAAGTTTATTAAACACTAAGACTTTTTTCATTCTTGTTCACAGACAGTGCACAAATATTTTAAAAGACCATTCCTTGACTGGGATATTATAGACTTTTTAAACGTTTGTAATCTTCAAAGTTTTGACCAAAAGATTGGAGGTCTCTCGAGATTATAATGAACAGGTATAAAAAATTCATAATTAATATATTAATTTTTTAATTTCTTGAGTAGTCTGACAATCAAGGAGAAGGTGTTAAATATGATGTCGAAGTCAGAAGTCTTTTGGACGAATCAATCTATTTAGAGGAATTCAGTACAATTTTAACTAACTTTAATACTTACCAACGTGAAGCAACGAATATTCTTTCTAAAAATGGAATAATAGATTTAAGTCCATCTTCTGAATTTGTTCTCATGTACTTTGAGGAAACAAAATATGATTCGTTAATAAAAAAAATTTTTGACCCAATTGACAAAATTTTCTCAGAAGAAGCTAATAAATTTTTAATTAATTTTTTTTCGGAGATAAATCATATAAATATTGTACCACTTATTAATGATTCAATGTCTTTTGCATTACCAGACAAAAATAATTTTAAAATAAAAAAAATATCGTTTCAATGAATTTATTTTAATTTATAATGGATCTATATGGAACCAAAAAAAAACAATTGAGGTTAAACAAAAATTATTGAAAATAATTGTATCTTTACACGATGATAATTGGCAATTAAAAATGGTGACGATATATGATATTTTAGCTTTAATATTTTTGCATTCGATAAATGTGCAATTCCTGCCTTAAACGTATTTTCTTTGAGAAAATTGTTTTAAAAAAAAAACTATCTAACCCAATATTTTTTACAAGCAAATTTATCTTATAAGAAATATATATATAATATAATAATAATTATCGTTATTTTATAAACTCATTATATTACTTTTTAATTACTTTCTAATTACCTTTCTAATTACCTTTCTAATTATTATTTTTTTTTTTTTATCAAAATTCTATACTTCATAAACAAAATTTCAATAAACGTGAGATTGTTTTGATAATGGTGGATATGGAATGTGATTTTGTTAAATCTCAACACCCTAATAATGCTGGTGGGTTTGGTAGTACTGATATCCTCTTACCTTTACTTTAAAAATTTATATTATTGTAGAATATTTTATTAGATTTATTATAGAATTAAAAAAAATTTAAAATATGTATAATATGATGATTATATAAATTATGTATGTACATATTGTTATATATATGTAAATTGGAATATTTCGTTATTTAAAAAATTTTATTTTGGGAAACAAAAAAAAATAATTAATAAAATCTATTTAATAATTTTATAATAAATAAAATCTAATTTAATAATTTTATAATTAATAAAATCTAATTAATAATTTATAATTATAATTAATTAATCACTTCATCTAATCATCATCTTCATGTAAAAGATGATTTAATCTTTCACCTAACATAGAAGCAGTACTGAGATATGTTCCATAAAATTTGATTCCTTTTGATGCCACTAATATATCAACTAATGATGTGAAATATTCATACATATTCAATCCATCTTTAGGATTTGTTATAATTTTCATTGGTTCAAGTTCTTGCTTAAAATCTTTCAATACATAAACACAAGGAAATTCTTTCATAAATGGTTTAAGTGATTTATGATATCTACTTACAAATGTGGCTAAATAAATGATTATAGGATATTTAGGATATTTGGAAGTAAATTCGGGATAACAAGTTTTATTAAAATGTGGATTTAAAGTTGTTGTTTTCATATCCATTGATGCAACTGTTTCAGAGAAATCTAATTTAATGTCACGAGTAATATTTTTAATACTGGTATCTGTTCTTGTTTCAAATCCTTTGCCTATTCTTATATGTACTCCGAAATATGTATTTATTCCACCTATTCTTTTCACTATATTATCAACTATTTTAAGAATAATTGGATTATTTGGAATCATATCATGTATTAAATCATTCCAAAATATTTTATTCTTTGGTAATTCTATTACTAATCGATTAATTGAATAAACACTTGCAAAATGAATTAATTTTTCTGATTTACTTAATAAATCTTGTAAGTTTACTCTCTCTTTAAATTCATTTAATGGTTCAACTGATTCAACATTATCATAATAACGTTGGGTGAACTTAAATTGATCATTCGTCATATTTAATGTTTGATTATTGGATGTAATCTTTAAATAATTTAATAAATTTTGATGTAAGAAATCCGTTCGATGAATAATTCGTATATTTTCTTTGATAAATTTAAAGCTAAATAAATATTCCCAATTATAAAAAGTATATAATGCATCAACACAATATTGATAAACGTGCGTTTTGTTTTTCCTCTCTTGACAATCTATAAATTCATTCTTATCAAGAGGTAACTGAGCAAGACGAGAATAATGTGGATGAAATCTTTGTTTGCCAAAAGGACTAATATTCTTGAAATAAATTATTGGAGGAACAATTAATGTTCTCTTTAAATACCATGAAAGAAATATAGCATTTTCCAGTGCAATACGTTGATTATTGAATCCACTATGAGGTAAATATGCCATAAATTTTTCTTCAGGTGAAATAGCAATATTTTCATTAAGATATTCAATATCTAAATTATCTTGATGATGATGATTATTTTCATTATTATTTTCATTATTATTGTTGTTATTATTTTCATTATTATTGTTGTTATTATTGTTGTTATTATTGTTATTATTATTTTTGTTATTATTTTTGTTGTTGTCAATACTTCCATAATCAAAATCTGTAAGGAATAAAAAATGAACTGTAAGGGAAAACACAATAAAAATTAAGAGAAAAAAAAAATTCCGTTGAGATGTAAAAAATAAATTCGCCATTTTTTTTTTTGAGAATAATATTTTATGAATATTGAATAAAAAAAAAATGTTGATATATACATATATATATATACAATATATATATATATATGACACAAAATAATACTTACGCAAACATACAAACATACAAATATGCATAAACCATTAGGTAATAATATCACTTTATAAATGTAATAAAGACCTTTTTTTTTTAGAGGTTTTTCAAAAGTAAACAATGATAAACGCTAAAATTAAGCATACAATGTTTATAATTATGGTAATTTTATACGAAGATATTATTTAAAGTAACACGAATTTTCTAATGATTAGTTGTATAATTTTCGCGACAATTTTTTTTTTTCATCCAAAAATGACAAAAACTCATTTACTGCTCTTAAAGCGGAAATTTATTACTTCTCCTTACGTGGATAATAATACCGAATTTTTTAAAGTTGGCAATGTGATAATAATTATATCTACTTAAATTATCTATATAAACGTCCACATGTATAACTTATTTATTTGTAACTCAAAATTTTATACATTTTGAACTTTGAATCATTAATCTGAGTGATCGGATGTTTGCAAACCGTGAAGTTCGAAACATTTTAAAAAGCAATTTTTTTTTCGATAAATGAATAAATTTATTAAATTTATTAAAGAATGAATACCTTTATGATAGATATTATTAAGATATTATAAAAAGAATATAGAGATATTTACAATGGAAATGTATTGTGGCATTAAAAAAAAATTTGGTAAGATTCTTAAATGAAGGTTAAAAGTTAACATATATATATATATCTTATTAACTTCGTTTACTAATATTTATTGCACAAATTTTAGTTATTTTAGTTGACTTTATAATTTTTTTATAATCTTAATAATATAAGAAATATATTAAGAAATTTATATATAAACAAATAAAAAACAGGAATTTTTTCGAAAATTTTTTATCACTTTTTTTTCAGATTATCACTTTTTCTCATTTTCTCTAAGGCCAATTTAATTATTCTTTCAACTTGTTCTTCAATGCTTAATCCTGAAGTATCCAATAAAATGGCATCATCCGCCATCTTTAAAGGTGAAATCTTTCTTTCGGTGTCATTTTTATCTCGTCTCAATAAATCCGCTAATACTTCACTCATTTCTAAATTTTCCATCTTTTTTATTCTTTTTAATTCCTTTAATCTTCGTTCCGCTCTAATCTTGGGATCAGCTATTATGAAAAGTTTTAAATGCGCATTGGGTAATATTACTGTACCGATATCCCGTCCATCCATAACGACACCTTGTTTTCTTTTTGAATTTGAATCTTTTCCTTTTTCTTCTTCATTATTATAATTATTATTGCTATAATCAATACATTCAGCCATTGCACGTTGTTTAACAACTAAAGCTTCACGAACACCAGGATTTGAAGCGATTCCTGTAATATTTCTAGTTATTTCTGGTAACATGATTTTCTCAGTGATATCTTCTTCATTAAATAAAACACGAGTTTTAGGTAATAATGGTTGTGGAGGTGAGGTATGAGCTAATGGTGGTGTACCGTTATCGATAGTAATAAGTTGAATTTTACTTGTCTTCGCTATATTGATTATTTTATAACTATCTATTAAGGATGTTGGATTTAAATTTTCTTTTAAAGCAGCAAATGTTATCTAAGGTGAATAAAAAAAAAAATAAAGAATAGAATAGAATAAGAAAAATGAAAAAAAAAATGTAAAGAAAATCATTTTTATTAAAATAATTATTGTCATCTTTGATACCGTTCTATACATAGCACCTAAAAAATTATAACATTATGAATATTAAATATTATTTTTTTTTTAAAAAAAAAAAAATAAATAAATCATAAAAATATCAAATTAAATTTTTTTTTTTTTTATATTTACCAGAATCAATGTATTCGAAATTTAATTGTTGAGCAACTAATCTTGCTGTGGTGCTTTTTCCTGAAGCGGCGGGTCCATCAATTGCAATTTGAAATAAATTTCTTTTGAAAATTGGTTGACAAAGAAGCGAAGAATTCAAATTCAAGTTTTGTTGCAATGACAACGACGACGTTGACGATAATAATCTTTTTTTTGAATTCGAATTCTCCGATATATTAATTAAACACTTGAACAATTTATTAATTTGTAATGAATTCATTTTTTTTTCTATATCATAAAATGTTTTTTTTTGACGATATTATATTTTAATATTTTAAAAAAAGAATTGAATTACTTTATTATTTTAGCATTTTTATAAATTTTTAGATTATCAAAATCATGCATTTCCATGTGATCATAAAGAATTTTACTGATAAAAATGTTCGAACTGGGTGTAGCATAACATTTATTTCATTTATTTCATTTAATGCGAAGAGAAAAAAAATATAGATATAAATATAATTTGTTTGTAATGATTTAATAATAATAATAATAATAAATTTATCTTAAAAAAAAATTTTATCAAAAGAATGATTCAATAAAAAAAAATAACTTAAAAATAACTTAAAAAATCTTAAAAATATCTACTACTTTATTATTATTTAAAATAATCTATAAATGCATATTGTAATATTTCATAATAATAATAAAAATCAATGCAAATAAATAAATAATAAAAAAAAAAAAAAAAAAAAAAGGAGATACGAAAGATATCATAATTATTTTCTATTGAAAATTACGAAAGAATATCATTACACTCCGGATGTTTTATTATTATTGAGGTAATAAATATTCAACAATCTTCTCAATGGCTGTTTCAATTGCTTCTCTAATCAATTTTTCATCTAATTAATTATAATAATAAAAAATAAAAAATAAAATAAAAACAGAATTATAAGTGTGTGTTAATTATGTTAAAATACAATAATAATAATTAATTAATTAATATAAAAAATTCTTACCATCATTTTTAACGGGTCCAATTGCTGTATTTTCTAAAAAATTTACATCCTTTGCTTCGGGATGTAATTTAATATATTCAGCTCTTGCCTTTGCGGCTGCTTCTTTTATCACTATTTCTTCATCCTCTGTTTTATATAAATCACATTTATTACATTTCTTGCATTTCTGACCAGGTATCGGTCGGAAGTGATCACAAACTACATATATATATTACATAAAGTACAAATTAGTGACCATACCGATAAAAGAGAGAGAGATATATGTTTATATGATATTTAATATTATGAGATAAAGAAGAACTTACAATGAGTATAAGATTCTTGACGTAAATCTTTTCTGCACAAATAACACATTAAATATCCTAAATAAAAATATTAAAATAATAATAATTATTATTATTATTATTATTGGTTAATGACTATTTTTTTCGTGAAAAATGAAAAACATTCATTTAAAATCAAAATGTAATGATTGTAGTATTTTACTAACCACAACGACATGTCATCTTATTACAACCATCTGCCTTGGTAAATGATACATGACATTTTGGACACTAAACAAAAGAACACATAAAAAAAATATTTAATTATATTATTATATGAATAAAAATTATAAAATATTATAAAATATTATAAATACCGTTCTCTTTACTGCTTCTGCCATGGCTTTTTCAACAAATAATCGTAAATTATCTTGTTCTTGCTCATAACATTTATGAAATGGTTTATGTTCTCGATTACATGTTAAACAAGATGATTTGGAACATTCGGGGTTCTGACATTTGAAAACGTTTCCTCGACGTTTTCTTTTGACCTAAAATAAAATAAAATAAATTTCAATATTGCATCAAAATTTCATTAGTATTTTATATTTATTTATTTATTTTTTATTTTATTATTATTATTATTTAACTTTGGGAATAATATAATAAAGAATATTGAAGAAATAATAATTATATAGAATATTGGAGAATATTGGGAGAGAAAAATTGTTAGATGATATTATTTAGAGAAGATATTAGAGAATCATTAAACTTACCCTTCTAATGATATTATCAATATCTTCAATCCAAGATTTTATAGGAAGTACTCCTAACATTCCCAATACTATTTGAGGTACAACAATTATGGCAGCAACATTAAGAAAACTCATAATATTTTCAAAAGAAGTAAAAAGTGGTAACAAGGCTAATGGAATACTGGCAATCATAATAATAGTTTTTGAAGACTTTAAATTACGGAAAGGATCATCATCATCAACTTCACAATATGAACAAAATGGACATTGTACGAGTATTAAATTTGCTTGTTTTAAAGAATGTTCTATAACTAATTCTAAATAATTTTTAAAAACTTCTGATGATAAAGTGATTTTAAGTTGATCATCCGTAATGTAACCATCACATCCATCAGATTCTATACAATTAATTCTTTTTCCTCGTAATGAACCTTGACCATAAAGTCCTTCTTGAACTAAATGATTAATACATTCTTTACAAAACAAATGACCTTCACTACAACCTATTAAATCTTCAAAAGTGTAATCCCCATAACAACAACCACAAGTAATTAATTGATCATTATTGGTGTATTCCGAAAAATTCACTTGTTTCGCAACTTCATAATCTTCTTTGGTTTGTTGTTCTAATTGTACAGTTAATATCTTTTTAATATCTTCTTCTAATTCTGAATCATCAAATTCTTTATAAACTTTTCTTTTAAATACATTAAATATTGAATTCCACCAATTTTGAGAACTAAAATCTTTAAGTTTAGAAAAACTTCTACGATAATCAAAATTATTTTCTGCCAAAACTGCTTTAATAGTTGATTTCCAAATATCCGGAAAATCATTATATAATCTATATCTAACTGCTTTATTATATTCTGGGGATCTAATAAATTCCCAATTTTCTATAACTGAAGTATTTAATCTACGAGGATAATTTTTTGAATTCTTTTCCATATCCAATAAAGTATCTATCACTTGTTGTACATGATTATTATCTAAATTACAAATCTTTTCTCTTAAGAAAGAAACATCACAATCAGGAAATATTTCATTTAATTGTTTAAGGAAAATATTCTTGGCATTTACACAATTTGATTCATGACATCCTTCAGGAATTTTGGGATATTGTCCTTTATTATGATTAAGAATTTTTTCACTAATTCGTTCAACATGATTATCTTTGTAAAATTTAGTACAATAACGTAAATATTCGACATCTATAAAAATAAATTAATAAACAATTTTTTATTAATTTTTTTTTTTTTTTAATTTATTAATAAATAAATAATAAATTCTAATAATTCTTAATTCTTAATTAAATTATTGTTGTCCTCATTAAATCTTATCTTTTTGTCTTATCATTTTAATACAAAATGTCTCCTATTTTCCTAACAATATAAAAAAAATAATAAAAAAAAAAAAAAAAGACAAACATACCAGCGTCAGGATATATAGCAATTAACTTTTCAACAATACCCTCTTCAAAAGAAGAAGTGGTAACATTATTATTATTATTGTTACTATTTGAAGTTTCGCCCTTTAGTAAAGAGGTAAAAAATGTAGGTTTTTTAAACATAATGAAAAAAAAAAGTTGTTTTTTGAAAGTTTTTTTTTTTTAAAAAAAGTATAGAAAGGGGTTTAATTATAATAGATAGATAATATTATTATATAAATCATAAAATCATATAAAAATGAGTTTTATTATTATTTGAGTATAATATAAATAAAACGGATAATACAGTTAAAAACAGTTTATTATATAAATTACAAAAGTATAAATTAAAAATTTTATTAAAAATTTCAAATGAAAGTCAAATGACTATCAGCTGCAGTATCGCATTGTATCACGCGAGTTAAATACTTGTTAAACAATAGTAATACATTTAAACTTATTAAAATATTGTTAAATTCTAAATTTAGTTGATTACCTGAATTTCTCCTCCAATATGTATATCACGTGAGGTCTGTACGCATTTTATTTATTTTCATATAACACTTTTTTGATTTATTTGGACACACGTATATATATATATATATAGATTATAAATATATATACATATATATATTTGCATAATAATTATATAATGATATTCATTCATCTTATTTTTTTCTCACGAAAATATTTTAATAACGAATAATAAATAAATCGAGATAGAATCAATATAAATATTGAAATTAATGAATTTGCCCAATTACTAATTATGGATGAGAATTTTCCAACGGTCACGTGCAAATTCGTAAGTTTTAACGAAAAAAAAAACGTTAGCTGTTAGTTGGGAAAATCATCTTTTAAATTTTATTTTATTTATTTATTTTATTTATTTATTTTATTTATTTATTTTTTTTTTTATTTTATTTATTTATTTTATTTTAACAATTTTATGAAACAGGTATCGAAAGAATAATATTCTTATTATCAAATAAGGTTTATTGAATTCATTTGTTTTATTTATTTATTTAAAATTAAGATTATTATTATTATTATTTGATGCAGCATTCCTGTTTATACCCCAGAAAAGATAAAATACTGGAATGAGTTTAACTTTAATTTGTTAAAATTAGATCACAAAAAAAAAAAAAAGGTTCTAAAGATAAGATTACTTGAGATAAGATTACATTTTTTCCCCGTTTAATTTCTATTCTTTTTTAATTTAATAAATGATAAAATAAATAAATTTAAATTTAATATAGCATTTAAATAAAATAAAAAATGATTTAATTAAAAAAAATTTATTAAAATTACCAGCTTTTATTTAAATAAAGTTTATAGAGAGGTTATCATCATCTCCTTATCATAGCTATCATAGCCATAATATTGTAGATCACACATTACCAGATTTACAGATCGACTATCATCTGCTATCAACGTTTCAAACTTTAATTTTTTTAAAAAATAAAATAATGGATAAATATAATCTTGATTCAAAGAAGGTGAATGAAAACGAGTTAGATGAAAACAAGGATGAAACCAATAACAAAAAAATAAAAATAGAAGATAGTAAGGGGAGTATCGAGGCTATAAAAGTTAAAAAAGAAAGAAAAGAGAAAGAAATAAATTTAAAGCATAAACAAATTACCAAACAATTTATTAACAAAGAGGAAGAAGAAAATAATTTGGAAACTGTTGAATTTTATTTTGAAAATGGTGGGATTTTACTGAAATTATAATTAAAATAATTTAAATAATAATAAAATAATAATAAAATAATAATAATAATAAAAATAATAATAATTAAATATGATTATTTTTTTTTCAATAACTATATATATATACATATATACACGCACATATATATATATATATATATATTAATAGGTTTGCGTAAAGTTAAACCATATTATTATGAATATAAAACATTTGCCAAAGGAAGATGGATAAAAAAAAATATTCTCAATGTTTTCCGTGATGAATTTCGAGATCGAACAAAAGAATATTATGTAATTCATTTTATTTATTTATTTCCTCGATATAACATATAATATGATGATTAATAAATATGATAATAATATAAAATATAATAATAATCTTTTGTTATTAGGAAACTGCAATTGAAAAAGGATTAATTATGATAAATAATAAAATAGTTACTCCATCAACAATCATTCAAAATCAAGATTTAATTACACATAAAATCCATCGTCATGAACCACCAATAACAGATAAAAAGATTAAAATTTTATATCAAGAAAATGATTTTATTGTCATTGATAAACCTGCAAGTATCCCGATTCATCCTTCTGGAAGGTATTTTAAATTATTTTAAATTATTTAATTTATTCGTTCACTTTTTTTTTTTGACATAATTTTTTTTTTTTTGGCTCACTTCTTGTCAAATTTTTTTTTTATCACACTTTTTTTTTTTTTTTTTAATTATTGTTTATTGTTTCATGAAGATATCGTCATAATACAGTATTACACATATTACAAAAAGAGCACGGATTTTTAAATCTTTTTCGTAAGTTACATTTTTTTCACGAAATTAATCATTAATTATATTATATTTATAAAATTTAATCATTAAAATAATAATATTATTATTTATAAAATAAATTTATAGCGTTAAATAGATTAGATAGATTAACTTCCGGAATAGTGATATTATCATTAAATAAAAAAAAAGCTCGTGAATTCGAACAACTCATGACAAAACACAAAATACAAAAAGAATATATTTGTCGTGTATTAGGAGAATTTCCAATGTAAGTTTATCAAATATTTATTATATTTATAATAATTATTATAAATTATTTATTATTAATTATTATTATTATTATTATTATAACTATTATTATTATTATTAATTATTATTATTATTATTATTAGGGAAGAAATAAAATGTGATCAACCAATAAAGTTAATTTCTCATAAACTTGGATTAAATTTGGTTCATCCTGATGGTAAATCATGTATCACGATATTTAAACGAATAAGTTATAATGGAAGTACCAGTTTAGTTAAATGTAAACCTTTAACTGGTAGAACTCATCAAATTCGTGTTCATTTACAATATCTAGGTCATCCCATAGTGAATGACCCTTTATATTGTAATATTAAATCTTGGGGTCCTGATATAGGTAAAGGAGGAATTGATATAAATGATGATAAAAAAATAAATGAACTCGTAAATTCGATTAGTTCGGAAAATGATTTTGATAATAAAATAGATAATCTTAATAATGTAGATGATAATAACAATAATAATAATATAGATGATAATAATAATAATAATAATATAATTAATAATAATAATATAATTAATAATAATGTAGATGACAATTCAAATAGATTTTGTGAGGAATGTACAATTTCACATTTCTCGGATCCTAAACCTAATCAATTATTAATTTGGTTACATGCAGTTAGGTATGAGTATAATAATAGTAATAATAATAATAATAATAATAATAATAATAATAATAATAATAATAATAATAATAATAATAATAATAATAATA